TTCAGTCCACTTTTTTTTTTTTTTTTCCAACATAGTAATTTCTGAAGCAAAATAAATTATCTACCATCTGCTATTTTGGGTAAAAGTCCTACCTAGCATCTTCTTGGGAACTACAGGAACATCACCTTTCTTACAGACTAAGTGAAGTGGTATCTCACCAGCCATGGAACTCTCTCGTAGCTGCATGTAAACATACCTTTCGATTAATGTTTAAAATGTGCAGAGTGAATCGTAACATTACRGGGGAGCAGAAACGGAGCTGCCGCAGGAGAACTGCACTGGTGTTAGTGGGGGGAGCGAGGGCTGGTTCGCTCGGACACACACGCACACAATCTGGCAACGGGATCTTATCCGCGGAGTGTGAGGGATGGTTGAGAAGGCATCCGTTTGCGAGCAAAGCTTGAAGGACACAAGCCGAGATTCTCTGAGCACACTGTCCGCTTTCATCAGAATTGACTCGCGCTACTGGGGTCGCACTGTAACAACCGCACGATGGAGGGATCGCTCTTGGCACCTTTGATGAACTCTTCCAGAGACAGTTTACCTGACAGGGAGGAAAATCAAAAATGGRAATAATATTTTTAAAAGTCAGTTGTTGCTGCCACCATCGCTGCAGCAAAGAACCCCTCCTCACCGAGGCAGCAGAACATCTATTTAAGCTATTGCAAAGCCATCAAGGGAATTTAGTGCAATGCACAGCAGCTAAATCCTACTCAAGCCTTTAAGCCCAAATGCATTTTTCTTCTGCAAAACAATCCAGCATAATAATTGCTATTTTTTWATTTAAAAAGACAGTCCCAAATCTAAAAACAACTGTTCTAATATCATTTAGCAGCTTTTTTTTCAGAACCAGATCATACAAATAACACATGAACACAAGGTATGGTGTCTGAATACACGTATGCTTTGAAAATATGGTTGTAGTATTACAACACTTTAAACCTAAATATTTCAAATATCTCCACTTTGTCCTCTTGTTTCTTGTGGCACATAGGGCTGAGCAGTGATGGCTCTCTCGCACCTACAAGCTGGGACAGGGGTCTGAGCAATCTGAACTAGTTCAAGATGTCCCTGCYCATAGCAGGGGGTCGGGCTAGATGAGCTTTGAAGGCTCCTTCCACCAACCCAAACTATTCCATGCTTTCATGATTCTGCAAGCCACTTGCTGGGTGTACAGGAACAGGATGGGTTTTGTTTTTCTTCTTTTTTTTCAAGAAAAGCCAGGCCTGGGGGAGCCACCTCCTGCTATGTATTGCTCCTGAGGGCTTCTGGTTTATACACTTTCAGATTAGGCCAGAGGCAATGACTTGGRTGGGCCCTGTGACAGTCTGAGGGTGTCAAAAGTGACTCTGGAAGAGCAGCCACCACAGCATCCTCTGGCTTCAACAGTCCCATGGAATGGCATGGCACAGTATGGTACAGCAAGGAGGAAATATCCCATCTGGTCTTACAGACCACATTCTGGGGTGACCCAGGCCCCTGGCAGGTTTCTACCAAGCTCAGGACCACTCCCCTGCACAAATACCATCAGGAGCCCATGAGCAGCCTCTGCCTTGCCTGCTAGCACCAATACTCTCCTGCCCCAACACTCTGAACCCTGGCAGAAATTGGATGTGGCAATATTAATAAGAAATGAAACCGTTTTCCCTGTGGAGTAGACAGGCATTTGCTGCATCCCTGACATCATGTCTYGTGATCTCCCATTTAGCTCGTGCATTCAGCACAGCCCACCCCACCCTCACACAACACCTAGGACCACCCTTACCCACCCCAAATTGCCAGGCTCGAGACAGGAGCCATGCACAAACATCTTGCACTTGGGAGCTGCCTGCTGCCACTTTTGGCCACCTGCACCCAAAGAGAGAGGCGCCAGCTCACTGTGCCAGTTTTCACCAGCCCCAGGATGCTACCAGCCTGTCGTGGGGATGGAAGAGGAATGGCTCTGGTGGCCAGCACCCAAACCAGGCTGAACAAGGAGGAACTCCTCTCCCAGGTAACAAGCAATAGGGGAAGAGGAAATGGCCACAAGTTGTACCAAGGAAGGTTTAGATTGGATATCAGGAAAAATTTCTTCACCAAAAGGGTTGTCAAGCATTGGAACAGACTGCACAGGGCATTTAAAAGATGTGTAGATGTGGCACTTAGGGACATGGCTTAGTGATGAGTTTGGCTATTTTGGACTCTATTATCTTAGAGGTTTTTTCCAACCACAATGATTCTATGATTCTATGAATGAGCAAGCCTTCCTCTTGCAGAAATTACAGAAGCTCAAAAACCTGTGGCACACTTATTTCTGGCTTTTAAGATAATGTTTCCAAACCAAGTGTTTTTAACGAAAAAGACGTCTCCAAACTATCAGGACATGTTTTAGTTTTACCCTCTCCTTGCATTATTTAAAAGCAAAGCCCAAATCAAAATCTATTTGCAATGCTCAACAGTCAGATGGGGAAGAAGAAACATTTCCAGCCACCCAACACATTCATGCAGATATTATTCCTTGGCACTGCATGGCTTGCAGGGMTGGGATTTTACTGGGAATAGGATGATTTTATCTCAGCAACAAAGTGCCACAGATGAAGGATGTATATATATTGCAGATTTTGTGACCACTACTCTTACACATCTGCACACACTSCTACTTTCCACAGACCAAAAATAATTTAATTGTATTATTTTAGGGCCCTCCACATGTCAGTCCAGGGGGTGAAGTGCTAGTTTTGATGAATTCAAAGGTAAAATACTTGAGGACTTCAGCAAGGCTAAGAATTTGCCCTGGGGGCGGCAGCAGCAGACATCAAAATGCAGCCATAAAATTYGCTTAAATAAAAACCTTTCTATACATAACATGGTATTTTTTCAGGTCTCCATATGTCAATGCTAGAACCAAATCTTTGCGCTCACTGAGTACATGAGTAGGATACAGCTGATTTTGATGTGGGCAGCTGCCACTTCAGACTCTGACAGGGTAATTCCCAGGGAAAAGCTCYACCTCAGCTGGAAATAGAGGAAATGTCATCAGGCTGATGAGMAAAGGAAATAAAACATTTTTTGCCCGTAGTTTTCAAGCCCATGGAAATGAACCAGCACAGGTAGTGGGGCTGTGATGGGTACACTGTCAAACAATTTATCAAGGATCTCCACAGGTGGCTTGGGAGCTGCAACATTCCCCTGATGCTCACAGTGCCACAGAGGTGTGTGATTATAAATATATGCATACATGCCATAAACATGCACAGAAAAGAAGTATTGTGGATCCAGTGGAATTTTTGCTTTCAGGTGCCCAACCACCTTCCAGACCTGTGTTACTGATGACAGGCCCAGGAGTGCAACCCTATCAATGGCAATGGGACCAAAACCTTGTGCCAAGTTTGTGTTATGTCCAGAGAAATTAACTCAAAGACAATGGACTTAAGAGTTTCATAGGAGCCTTTACAGAAGGGGATTTACCCATGGAACATTAGGGAAGGACTGCTCCCCTCCTAGCCCCCAAACTGGAAAAGTCACCCTCTGTTCACTGTCCAATTTATTCACCCTATTTGCCATGGACCAGAGATGCTCAATGAGGCCAGGGAGAGAGCAGAGGCACCAGTGGGGACATCCCTGACCTCTCTCCCCTCTCCCCAAATCCTGCCATCTACCAAGGCTGGGCTAGAAAACSTCTATTTCTAGAGCCTAGGAGGGGGTGCCAGGGGAAATCCTACCGTCATTGTTTGTGTCCATCTGTCTGAAGATCTTGTCTGTTCGCTTCTCAGGAGTGGATTCRTCCTCTGGCATTTTCATTACTGAAGAAACCATTTTGTAAATTGCCTGAGAATTAAAAAAAAGTAAAAAAAAGAGAGACGTAAGAGAAACACAACCCAAATGATAAAACGTGGGACAGAGAAAAAGAATTTAAGCCTGTAGCAATAAAGAAAGGCAGCTGACCCTGGCAAGCAGYTGCAGGATTTAATAAACCAAAACAAATGGGAATTTCTGACTGCAGCTTTTTTATTTTTCTTTCCTGTATTCATTCGTGCTTCAAAAGATGTGCTGGGTAAATTTAACTGAAAGTCAGGGTAGTAGTGAGGTAAAATACAGGAGGCAATGGTGTGCAATTCTCTCTTCTGCCCACTGCCTGTGGCTGGCTCTCACCRTCCCTCCACTTTCATGTATGCATATGGGGTGTTACATGGACTGTGGTGAATAGGAATATACAGCAAGAGGGATTGTTTTCTTTGTGGATGGGTAAGAAAATGCATCTTCAGACTTATAAGAACATGAATAATGATAAGACCTCTTTAGGGTGTCTGCAGTCCTAGCCTGCCAYCTAAATTATCCCACCTCAGCCATGAGGACCAAGTGTTGGGCATGGGCTGATGCATGACTCCCTGACACTGCACAGGACACATCTCAGCTGCACAGTGGGTGACAAGCAGGTCAAACCCCCACCAGCATGTGGGGTAGGGGAACAGGGAATTCTGCCTTGCACACCCCTACTACAGATGGTGCTTTACRTGTCCTCCACCTTCAGGAGACGCAGACACGCTACAGCCTTTCATCCAGAATTATAACTGACTCAGATTTGAAGATTCAAAGCGCTAATTTTGAGATTAATCAGGTCAATAGAATTTGCATTTAGGGCTTTTTGATCCCATGAACATCACTAAGAAATCCCTAGGGAGAGCTKCAGAATTTTGGCTGCAGGCCAGCTGCACAAGTTCCTTGTCCATGTCTCAGGCCCTTTCCCATCTGCATCTTGTAKGTCCCACCGTGTGTCCCTTTGGTTTGGGGCCCATGGGCTCAGGAACCTCCCTGGGGAAGGAGTGACCCAGCTCAGCACATCCCTCACTTCCAGCTCCAGCTGTCTCACGGTAAASAGTTTACAGCAACACAAACAAGATGTGCAATAGAGTCACAGCCTCACCTGCACTATTTCTAGCATTTCCCCACGGCTGATGTACCCGTTGCCATCCAGGTCGTACATACTAAAGGCCCACTTCAGCTTCTGTTCCAGCTTGCCCCGGGAGGTGACGCTCAGGGCAATGATGAATTCCCTAAAGTCGATCGTCCCGTCGCCGTTGGTGTCAAAGGTGCGGAAGACGTGCTCCGCAAACTTCGACGCGTCGCCATAGGGAAAAAAATTTGCATATATTTTTTTAAACTCTTCTACAGTCAAATGGCCCGTGGGGCAATCTTTTAGGAAGCCCTTGTACCACTCCTGCAGCTCGTGGTCTGTGAACTCRGTGTTCTCACGCAGGTCCTGGAGCACCTCGGGGCGCAGCTTGCTGTTCTGCTTCCCCATCCTCGTCTGGGTCTGGGTTCAGCAGCTGCAAAGCAAGAGAAAATCTRCCTGAGCTCCAGCCCCACTCGGCAGAGAGGAGCTGGGGAGAGGCAGAGCCGTGAGAGAAACATGTGAGAGACCCCCTGGGGCAAGGGAGAAAGAGGAGAAAAAGGATGTTATAAATCACCAGGAAAAGATCTCGTTTAATTTGGCCTCCTTTCTTCTCCTTTAGGCTCTCCCAGTGGCTAATATGCTGTGGAAAGGAAGGTAGTTTGGGAGGAACTATTTGGGAAATATTAATTGTTATTATTAATTCTGCTGATATGGGAAATAATAAAGATCAGTATTTTATTTCTCTGCTACAATCCCACTCCTTCATCATATGGCTTGTGATGCCCAGCTGTTGTTCCTACAGAGGCTGATCTGCTGCAATGACCGAGCAGGAGCAGGCAGAGACAGCAGTGGTGATGAAAAGAAAAGTTCATCTATTCAAAAGTGAAAGTAAATGTGGCTGAACAAGGAGCAGGAAGGGCAGGTGGCTCCATGCCAGTCACGTTTGCATTGTCCAGATGCTCTTTGAAACCCTTTGGCTTGCACAGCTTCTCCTCCCTCCCTGCATCCCTTGCCCCACAGTGGCCTCCCAGAGTGGTGGGGCTTGGTCAGTGCTCCTTGAGACACCCCAGGGGTCACAGGAGGGTSCAGAAAAGGGTAAGCTCAGCTCAGCCCATGCTCAACACCAGCACCCCAAAAGACTTCTCCCTCTTCTTCTCAACCATGGAGGCAGCATGAGCAGATGGATCACTGCAACAGCAGCACCGGCACAAGGGATTTCATCCTTTCCAGCCTGCSCAGACAATCAGAGAATAGGGCTTTCTAAAGCAAAACATTTGGCAAAGCAACTCTTTTCAGGTTTACTGGGGTTTATACTTTTAGAGAAGCTTATTCAGTCGGTTCATTCTCCAACTCAGGCCAAAGGGCATTTAAACTGAGGATTTCATTGGGATGGCAGGTGAAGGCTGGGTCTGTCCTCTCTCTTGACAATTGTGCATTGTGCCACACAAGGTGAGACTGCCCAGCAACACGAGAGCTCCTTCAGCAAAAGGAAAGATGATCAATCTGCACTTGGGCAACAAGAAAAAACAAAAACTTGATGATTTTATCCCTTGCAGTCTTTCATGGCTACCCTGCAATATCAAACTGTGCTGCCAAGCTAGGGGTTGAGCTGCATGTTCTTCCCCAAACTGAAGAAGTTTTTCACAAGTTTGCACAAAGTCACATCCAAACTCCTGTGACTGGTTTGCATAAAGGATATTTCTCTGCACAGCCTGTTGTGCCTGTTGGGTTCACTCAGAGCCAGTGCAGAAGGCACGTCAGTACCAGGCCAACACTGCAGATTACCTGGAAACTGAAAGAGCTGAGCAAAGTATGCAGAGACCAGGAAAAACAGGGGCTAAGCACTTCCCAGAGAGTAAAAATTCCAGGCATGCATAAGAACCCTAAAAAATCTAAAATGTTAAAGGCCAGCAAAAAATTAGTTGCTCTACAGCAGAATGTAAGCTTGTACTATTTGTATTTCACTTAGTCTCTGCATTGCCTCAGCAATGTAAAAAAATCCACATCCTGCTCTGTGGCTTTAATACTCGGAGACAAACCCCAGCCAGCTGCTCGTTAGTTCRATGCATTTGGCTTAACAGAAAACTGTGTTATTGTTAGTACTTCTGTTTTCCAGAAAACCTGCCAATATTTCAACCCCAAAGCTTTATTTTTGTCCATTATATTGCAGAGTTTCCTCAACATACCTGACACACCCCTGCCTGCTCCCAGCACGCAGGGACGCTACAGCTCCTGGTCCCTGCCAGCATCACCCCTAGGAGAGCACCAGGCTGTCCTCCAGCTAAACCACTAACTACTGCCACTGCCTTTCCATCTCTGAATCTTCTCTGCTCCACATAGTCATCCTTGCAGTGCCGAGGGCAGAAAACACAATATTCTACTCTGCTGAAGTCAATTTGCAGAAAAAAGCAGCTTGGAGCAAATAATGGATCAGATGTGGTGCTTTTTTTTAAAGAGCAGAAATTGTAACAGTATGTTTCTGTCCTTGGGTGAGGAGGTGCCTTCAATGTCCACCCCTCAGTGAGCCCCTTGGCATCACAATTCCCAGGTGCTTTGTAAGAACCAGTGTCCAGGGCAAAATGCAGTCCCTGCCTCTCCAACCACTGCCTCAGAATTCCCTGGGAGAGGGGCAGGAGAACAGTGGATTCCACTTAAGGCAGGAGACAGGCTTTAAGCAGAAATTATCTCAGCTTTATTGACGTGCAGGGTTAAGGATAACAAAGCTTTTAACTGGTAGTTAAAAGAGGTTTGAAAAGGTTTAATGCCATTTCTCCCTGTTCCTGTAATATCCTTATTATTCCTGTTCTCTTAAAAACAGAGAACCCTAGACAACAAAGAGGTGAGGTGATAAATTCTACTGACTAGATTTGACTGCTTCTCCTAGTGGWAGATACATCCCGTTATTTCAAGAGATGCTCATTAAATACCAGCTTCAAAAGCTTTATATTCAAGCAATCTCTGCATTCAAAAGATTACAGGCTATTTCAACCCTTCCTCCTCTTTCCCATTGCTTTATATCAGAAAATGTGCAATGCTCTGAACACAACCTTTTTTTGCATACGAGCTTTCTGAAAGGCTTTATAACATGTTCAGCTCAAATGCAATCCCACAGTTGTAACCAATTTGATGTGAATAATTAAATAACYAACATTAACATTAATTTATTAAAGCTCATCTAAAAAAAACAGCTTTGATGTAAATTGTGTTGCAGGTAGCTCCTTCAAAATGAAATACCTAAATATCTCATTAATCATGACAGCAACCCCTGCTGCTGGCATCCAACTGACATTTCATTCGATTGCTATAAAATGCTTTCATCAAATCACTTTCCAGAGTCTCAACGGCTGATTTAACCATAAGACCACTCAGAGGATGGCTGCTAATGGAAATCACAGGGAGCAGGGCTGGGATGCTCTGGTCAGTCCTGTGATTAGGGCTGTGTTTTGTTGGTTTGGTTTGGTTTGTTGTTTGCTCTGGTCAGTCCTGTGATTAGGGCTGTGTTTTGTTGGTTTGGTTTGTTGTTGGGTTTTTTTGTTTTTGTTTTTTTTTTTTTGTTTGTTTGTTT